GACAGTCGCTTTATAATCGTGTGTGGTTCAGGTGCCCCTTTAGCCTGTATCTGCGAGCTGTGCGTCACAGCCTATCTACTGTTGGTTTTAAAAAAGAGTAACGGCTTGCCCAAACGGTCTGTTTGCTGTGCACCGTGTGAGGGTAACTTAAGCAAAACACATTGCCACGCTTCAGTGGCGTTCTTGGCGCTTCCTCATCGTTTGGAGGTCAAGCTGCTTGGAAATAATGATTTTCTATTTTTGGGTGTGTGTATGTGTCCGACCTTTTAAAAATTGTTATTAGGTAGTATTGCTCATTATGGCTTGCCTGCTAAGCACTCCCCACAAATGCGATTTTGAATGGGTCTCATTTTCCTTTCTGAAGAGAGAAAAACAGAGGATAATAAGAATCTGGGGGCTCTAACAGCATCTCATCCTTACACAAAAGAATGGGGGGAAAAAAAGTAGCTAACAGACAATCTTTTTAGGAGTATTAACTTACTAGCTAAGATGCAGCCCAGAATTAGTAAGCCGGAGAGAGAGGTAGGCCTAATGAATTTGAAGCAATGTCACTCCAAATATTAATTTGTTGTAGGTATGAGTTGTAAACTGTCGGCTTGTCTGTGTGCAGGGAGCGTGTGGACTGGTGTCTTCAGAAGAGCAGGGCATGTGTTGTATGCTACAAGTCTTAAGAGTTTGGATTGTTTTGTTGACAAAAGCAAGTGAATACACTAGAAGTGCAGTTTCTTGCTGCCAGCTCTAAGCTGACTTTATCTGCCCACATCTCCCAATTCATGGCCTCACATATTAGCAAAAGTCCTGTTCATTAGCAGTTACTAAATCAAGCTGTTACGCTGAGCTGTGAACTAGGATGATGAAGATCTCATCATGTGCTCCCCTATTTTGGAGGGTTGAAGGTTGGTCACTTAACCAGGAGGACAGGAAAATTTTGGACCATCTCTGCTAGACTGACTAGAAAATGTAGAACTTCATCCGAACCTTTAAACTGTATTGGACGTTAATACTTGTCTTTTGGTTTTGGTTTTTTTGACTCGTGAAAAATATGTACTATGTATATCTTAGATTAATATGATCAACATCGCTTGCTTCCTGACATATAAACCCCAATACTTTTCTCCTTATCCACAGAACAATATGTTGGACTTCGTGTTTGCTGTTGATGATTCTGTGACCTGGCATATGATGAACTTGTTAAAGAACAGGAGTCATTATTCCTTCCTAAAAGTTTTTGGGCCAAAACAGATAAGTAGCATACAGAGCTACGGAGCAGGGATTTACTACAATACTTTAGTGCCATGTAATGGTAGGGTAAGTACAAGTAGTTTGAGTAAATTAAGTTAAATATTTGTGTGTGAAGTATTGAAATGATTAGCTTAAAGCAGATTTCTGTGCAGGAAGCAAATCCTTGTAGATTGTAACTGGTCCTTAACTCGTGGTATCTTCAATATTTATGTCTCAAACTGTTTCACAAACAGCACGTTAATTAAAAAGCAAACAGAGCAGCTGCTCTGGCACTTTAAAAGTGTGAGCAATGTTTGGAATTTACAACTAAAGCACTTCAGAAACTGAATTTATTTTCCTTATTACTTGCTGTCTGCCAGTTTTGGTGGTTGTAAAGTGTATCGTGGGGAAACAGGGCCTTAATTTCAGCAGTTGACCATGTAGTAATAGCAAAGTGGGTTCTTACTGTTCGTTTGACATAAAATGCAAATATTTAACATAGCAAGTTGGAGTTGACATCTGTGTTGTTTAATGGCTAACATCCGGACCTGTGAAGCTTGAGTACAGTTAATAATTCTAGGAAAGTAGATACTTGTCCAGCAAGTCCTACTCCTGCATCTATGTGTAGACTGTGTTTGGTAAGAAGGCGTGCAGATAGATCAAGAGTCAGGGGAAGGAAACACTGTGTCCGTCTGTCTTGGTGTTGATTTTGAGTTACCACTTTTGCCATGTGGTAACAAACTGTACATAGGGAAAGTAAGTCCTTTTAAGAAAGATGGCAAATGAAATGAAGGACAGTCATGGAAAAATGTCATGTGAGCAATATATACCTAACTGAAGTTTCTCAGAGCACGCGTGGTTGCAGTAATGTTGGGTGTATGTCAGAATTTTTCATAGAAAGTTGGAGATGTGGATGAGTAGTCTGTTATGTACTTGCTATTTTGTTTAAAGGCATCCGTATGCGGCAAGAATCTGGGGTTTAAACCTTGTTCACTTTATGTAAAAAGGGATTTTGGATTTTATTTTAAGGACCAATGATCTTTGCTATGAAATTCTGTTCTTCTTGGCTCTTTAAGCTCTTATCTCATGCTGTAATGACTCGTCATATCACAGACTATGGTCCTTTGTCATCCAGAAATTCTGGAGTTGGCTGCCTTGCTGTGGTGATAATCTTTGGAAACTCAGGAAGTACAAATTGGTAACAAAACTGTTGAAGGTTCATCTGTTTTTCCAGTTGCATAAAACGAACTACAAAATCACAAGTTGTTTTCTAACATCAAAGAGCAAAAGAAAAAGCTCCCTGATACACACCCTACCCCTCAATAACAGTACACATAAATGTCTAGGAGTTTTGTTTATTTTAGATCTCTGACAAACTATTTCTTGAATGTTTTCAATATCATGAAGGATACTGTGGATTATTCCGACTGTTGTAACGTTTGGCTGGTACAAAACTGATCGTAACCTTTCCAAAACCTTTTTATGAACAGTTGTATTTTAATGTTCAGGTCGCTTCAGTGTCAATGTCTGTCTAGACTACGTTTCTTTGGGATTTAAAGTCTTTTGCTTTAGTGATTGATCCTGGGGTGACTTTATTGTAACTTTGATTCTAGAAAGGATCTTAGAGGGTTCTGTGCATCTTCCTGTTCCACTTTTTTTTTTTAACAGAAGTTTGCATGTGAATAGGATTTTTTTTTTACCTCCTGTGTTCATTAAAACATTAAAATGTTTTCATGTTATGCATCCAGTTTTTTTATTGGAAGTGTGTGTTACTTAGAATTAATGACAGTTATAGTAAGTAAGTAGTAAGTTTCATAGAGTGAAAATGGTGCAGGTGTCTGGTTTTTCCAACGCCTTTATTTTGCTTTTTTCCAGATGATAAAATACGGTGTAATTAGCACTGATACCCTGATTGATGATTTACTTCACTGGAAAACCCTCTATGTTGCTGGACGCCTACAAAAACCGGTAACTGTTAGTCTGTTCAGTTATCTGTCTTGAAATGCAGGAAATTAAAGGGCTGGAAAATTATCAGTTGTCATTTTAACTTTAACTGTTACGGATCTGTGCGTCAGTACTGAACAAATAATCTGCCCTGATTTAGGGGTCTAGTCCTAGAGGGATCATCTCTCAGAAAGGAAGTGAAATGTAGTCCTTAATGATATTCTGTGTTACGTGAAAAAACTAAAGGTAAATACGTTGATCACAGTTTTCTGCCTGTAGTAAATCTTGAATAACTGGACTATATTAACTCAAAGTCCCTTTAATATTAACTGCAACGTTTACCTTTTATAACAAATTATGGGAGTTGACAAAATTTAATACAGTTAAATAACGGAAATCTTTAAAGATGAAAGCTGCTTTGCTGTGCAGTTACTGTCTGGTTCATTGTATTGTTAAAGTATCTATAATTGACCAAACCATGTGTTAAGCATGTTGCTTTTTCTCCTCCATGTTTGCGTCATAAAAAATATGAGGTCTTTGTTTACCATGAGTGCCTGATTCAGTGTGCTTTCAGCAGATGGCAGCAGTGCTAAATTAAAATTTCTTAAGAGGGGAAGGGGGAAGGAGAGGAGAACTCTGTTCATGTCTTAGAACAGAAGTTAATTATGCTTTTAACCAAAAACTTGGGGTGAAAGTCTGAATAGATTGTCTCAGCGCTACTGGCTTTTCTCTATCTCCAGGGACGTATTATAGCATGATACAGGTTAGAACAGCTGTTATCTTTATAAAGAAAGAAACTTAATACATAGAGAAAAATAACTGAAGGAAGAATTCTGAATTTCACATTAACAATGAATACTGAATATTTATTTTCAATGTAACTGCATCTGCTGCTGCTTTGATTTATCTTAGAATTTTTTATCTTAGTATATATAAATTGTGCTTCATATCTTTTAGTTAAATTCAATGGGAGTACATACTTGCACAAGAAGGCAGGATGTGGTATTTCGTTTGGTCGCTTACAAGACAGTGGAGATATCACATATGTGTTTAATAGATAAAAGACGAAATCAGTCCAGATTATTTTCATAAAACTCACAGGAATTTGCGTTGAGTAAAGACTGCAGGACTTAAACCAGAATTGGGCCGAAAGATTACTTGGTGAATGTTTAAACTGTATCTTCCAGTAGAATCTATAAAATCACTAACTAGGATTTTCAGTGTTATACCGTGTTGACCAAAAATGACCAAATAATTTGTTTAGATCTGTTGTACAGGTTTCAAATGTCTGCTGGTTCTGGCTTCAACTGATTTGCTGTTTTGATATATATGTTCTAAGTGGTAGTGATAGAAAGCTTTTTTTACCTCCTCAAAAATGTACAATAAGCTCCTTCTGGAGGCGACATAGGGTTAGGTTTGTTTTCTTATACACTATAATCTCTTACATACCATTTGCCATTTGTGCTAGTTCTGGACACAACTGACTGAAGCCAGATTACTATTGTTTAACAGCTTGTTTGGGAATTTCCTCCTCACTCATATAGAGGAGGAAGACCCCAGCGCCTTTCTGGTGTTCCATTACAAAGCTGTCACTGTGTGAGTGAAAGCTATCCAAGCTATTCTAGCACAGGAGCTAAAACATTTGCTCTGGCTTGAAAATCTTGGCTTAATTTTTACTGGAGATTTTGTTTCTGTTATAAACTGGTTGTGTTGACCAAGTAGTCTTTCCAGAACGTTTGGCAGAATAGATGGAGTTTGGAATTGCCACTCAGAAATGCTAACTTTTCTTCCCAGGCTTCTTTTGTTTGTGTTAAAAAGCTTACTGGCTTTTTGTCCTACATGAAATTTATAACACTGATCAGCTAAATTCCCATTTAACTGTATTGAAAAATTGAATAAACTTAGTTGTAATTTCTCCATAACTGACAGGTTTCCTGGGAAAAAAAATGCTGCTGTACCTAAAAAGTAAAATAAATAAGCACAAGTGACACATAATTGGTTTTCAGAGGAAGAAGATTTTAAAAAGCATCTGAAGTGTTACTGAATTTTTGTTAAACATAGAGTGCAAGTAATTGCTTTAGTGTAAGCAGTTGTATTTACTGTTGTCCTGGAGAAACTGTTAAGAGAAGGAAGTGTTTAATAAATTGAAGTGAGGTGAGAGAGAGAGAGGAGTATGAATAGTTTATAAAAATATCTTGTACTTTTTAGAGGGGTCTTGGGAGGTTTAGGGTTTTTATGTTATAAAAATTCCCATGAAGGAGTGACAGAGCACATATTTGTTTACTGAATTTTTCCATTGTCCAAATCTGTAAAAACATTTTTTGAAAGAGAATGGAAAATTCCTCTTATCGTGATATTTAGCAGAGTGTGGATGTGGCTAAATGGCAGACTGGAATAGTGCTTTTGACACCTTTCACTCTATAATGAAATTTTCTTTGTGTATTTTGTTTGTCTGTAAGTATCTTTTTGTACACATGCCTGCAGTTTCTTGTGTATGAATTTCCTAGCAGTGAAGGTAGTATGTTTCCTACTTTAAACCATTGTGATGACTGAGGGTCATGCTTATTTATGAAATTGAATATATCCCTCCTTTAAAATATTAATAATTTTAAAGTCTCAACTGCACTGTTAGTTAACTGAATTCCCTGTATACTGTAAAACCAGAATAAATTGGCTTCTTTCCCCCTTATGTGATATGGTACAGTGACTAGTTCTGATCGTAAGTTCTCTGTACTGTGAAAAAGCCTTCCTTAACTTTGGTCATCTTTCAGATTTACCCCAAGAATCAACATTCATCCTTGTCATACCTCGGTGACAACTATTGCACTCTGTCTTCCTGGGAGATTTCTAGCTACCTAACTGTTTAAAATTTGTTCATAAATGGTATCACTACTGCAGCATTTCGGGCGTTTAAATTTTGAAGCCTACCATATTATTCCCCTTTAAAAAAAATCTGGTTTATGTTAGGGAGTATTCTTAGTAAAGGAGGAGTAAAGTAATCCTTTTACTTCACTAAAGCAAGTCCGTGGTCTTCCATGAGGAGGAATAGCATCTGCTGAGTTTCACATTTTAAAAGGCTGTAACTGTGGTGTTCTTAAAACATGTCCATAACTTGCTGTTATTTCCAGGGCTAGCCTAAGGTATAAGCAGTTTGCGTGACTGCTTGGGGTGCCGCAGACTTCTCTCTTCCGTCTTTCCTTAGAGTTTCCCTGTAGCAGCAAGTTACAAAAGTACATCTAAGTGAGTTAGTTGATGAGATTTAAAATATATAGTTTATCCTCATGACCAGCCCGTCTTGTTTATTGGATCTTATTTGAGCAAGCCTGTATGCATTCAGTAAACTTCTCCCATGGTTTTCAAGGAAAAAAGTTTACTCTCGGCTCCCTGTTAGATGAATGTATTGTATTTTAATGTGTTTTATCATCGTCTTTCATTTTAATGCTAAAAAATACAAAGCAATTTGCTGGAGAAGTTAGGAGGAATTATGAAATGTTTGCTTGTACAGTGAACTCTTTATTTTTAAAACGAAATTCAAAGAAGGGAAAACATCCTTCAAAAATCCACCCTGGACCAATTCCAGACTGTCATACAGATTTGATGTTAGGCAAACCCATGCTTCACTGCAGAACAATTGAAACAAGCAGCCTGTATACTGTTGCATTCACCACCATATCAAAATGAGATATTGTTCTAGTTTTATCCCTCTTAAAGATTTCACTGTAATTAAAAATTACGTTCTGAATATAGCATTGGCCAGCCATGACATTGCTTTGTCAATGTCCTTTCTATAAGAAGAATTTTGTGTAGCAGATATGTCTGATTCTCTTACTTTCTTTACTGAATCTGGGTTTGGTGGTGTGTTTTTTCTTTATTAACAGAGTATTTACATGCCTAAAGGAAAGTATTTACTTGAAAGTATACCTTAGCTGTTTCAGGTTATATTTGGGGGCAGAATTTCAAGTAATACTGCAAGTCATTTGTGTGTGAATGGGCTTTTGGGGAGTAAAAGCAAGTTGGATACTTTTGTTCATAACTGCCAGTGGGTTTGCATTTTAAGGTATTCTAGAGTAAAAAAATATTAAGAAGCTGCCCTTTATGAGCAAGACAGTATTGCTTAATCAGAACACTTGAAAAAGACAGAAACTCGCAACAGGCAGGTATTCTTGGGAGAGCTGTTTCTGAAAGAGCTTAGTTGGCCATCTTGTAAACCACGCTGACTTCATCTGTCTAATGTTCTGTAATAATATGTTTCTATATTCAGTTCTTACTGAAGATCTGCTCTTTTACTCCGGTATATTTCCATATCCTAGGTGACTGGATTCTGTGGTTGGTCTTGAACAGTTTGAATGTTCCCTGAAAATAAACTCTTTGTGGCACGTAGAAGCACTCAACTTCAGTGATCTGTTCTTCATGTATATGTGAAGTTCCCATTGAGTTCACACTCTGCTCATACAAAGTGCAAAATAAAGCCCTGCTTCTTCTAGGAGGACAACTAATATCTCAGAAACTACTTGAAGCATATGATAGAGGAATCCTCTATTAGAGAAAAAAATAGAATGAAGATTAATAGGAAAACTTACCTCTTTTTCTGATATTCCATTGTCTTTCAGTGTGACGGTGATCTTTTTGTCTTGTTGCATAATCACATATGAAGTATTTCTAATACTGTGCTATTCTACCATCTGCTAATGCATTCATATTTACTGTTTTGATTAATCCTAAATTCATGAATCTGAAAAGGTGAATAGCTCTTCAGAGATTAGTTAATGGCTGTTGCTTATAGCAATTCTGAACATGTTTGTAAAAACAGCCTTTTGTAGCAGGCTGTTAATTCTTAAAAAAAATGTTCCTCTCTCTCCCAGTGTGTAAACAAAAAGGGACACTCTAGTCTTTATTGTACCATAATAATAGGATCTAATCTTACATAAATTTCTTATTTATTTTTCACGTTGGATTGAGTAACATTTCTAGCTCCATCTTCAGTAGCACTTTCCTGAAGTCTTGCTTCCAATGACTCTGCTTTTTCAGGTGAAAATACTGACACAGAATGAGAATAGCAAGCTGCAAGCTGCTCTTGTTAGCAATCTGAAGAGTGCAGTCACAGCAGCCTTTCTCATGTTACCAGAAAGTTTCTCTGAAGAAGACCTCTATATGCAGATTGCAGGACTCTCCTATTCTGGTTAGTATATGATGTCCAGAGTGTTTGAGGAAAAAGGCTGTAGTTGGAGCTGTTGTACCACAGTAGGACGTCTAATGTATAATAAGTCATCTGCTCTCTTGCTTTGGGCCTACACTGTTGCATGCTCCAGTAACTATATTTTACTGCTGTGTTATATAACAGCTTGGAAAGACTAATTGTGCTTATTCACAGAAAACAGATATAGGTACACAAGCAAAACTTCTTGTACCTTTTTGATTTACGAACAGCAAGTATGGGTGATTGAAGATGGTGAAATAACCCGTTTTCTCTGTTTGTATGGATTGTATTTTGGTTTTAATGGTTCAAAACTTTGGAAAAAATTTTTTCTTTTCACTCTCAGTGTAATGTTGATTCATCTGATAGTCTGACCCATGCTTTGTTATCTGTTACTTTTTGAATGTGCTGTGTTTAAGGTTCTTTTTTAGTTAACTTAAAGATCCAGATTATGATTCTTCAATGTACATTTAACGCTCACCTCCTGGTATTTATTTACTGACATTTTTTTGGTAAGAGAATTTCCTCCTTTAGTTATGAAGTTGGTATGAATTGGTACGGAAAAAAATTTAAGAAATTACTCCAAATGACTCTTCAATACAAGATTTAATTGTTACAATTTAATTAGGCATTGCACTTTAAATGTTGATATCCTTAATGAAATCACAATGGACAAGCTTGGTTGGAGTTGTACTTTACACAGCACTTTCTTTGCTCATATAGAAATGCAAGTTTGGCTTTAAAAAAAAAAAGCACAGGTAGGCAGGTAGGGTTTGTAAGCTGCAGCTTGGCTCTACTGAGGAATGTTACTGTCCCTTACGTAGTACTCCTCCGGTCAGTTTAGACTGCAATTTGTTCAGCTTTTCCTTCGCAGTTTTTTCTGAGTCGTTACCTGTTTGAAAGCGACAGTAAAGAGGGTACTGACAGTGGGATGGCTAAGGGTTCCTAACCAGGGATGTTTGCCACAGGGCTGCATACCTGCCCACCAGAAACCTGTCCAGGAATGTCATTAGATTCTTGGTGAGCACCAGTGACCAAGGTACTTTTTTATATGTCCTTTGAAACAGTGCAATTAACCAAAAACACGGGAGATCAATTACCATGCTGTACGATGCTGAAATTGGCTCTGCTGTGTGAACAAAGCTAAAGCAATAAGACTCCCAGTTGGGAATGTTCAAGAAAAAGGCTGTCAGTGACATGTTTGTGAATATTTTATTTTGCTGTCATTTTGTTAAGTCTTAAACTTTTCAGAGGGTATACTAGTAGACAAAATTGATTTTATGTGTTACTCTAATCAGTCTCCTTGGAGACCGCTGAAAAGAGTTGTTTATACTTTAATTTGGAAAATGTTTATCCTTTTATTTTTTTATGGATTTTTTTGGGAGCAATGAGTCAGTACCATTTATATGGTAAGTGTTTGTTTTGCAGCTTGGCATAAATTGAAATAAACTTAAGTAATGCTAGCGAGTTGCCACCTTGCAACAACATTTATCTCCTGAACGTGGGAAGTGGGAAAATGAATTGATTCAGAATTTTGTTTGTTGATCTGTGCTGCACTGAGCATCTAACTCCTGGCTGGTAACCCTGGAAGCTACCAGGGTAGTACCTAATAAAGGTAGATGAATACACTATTACAGACTGACTGTCTTTTTCACTTACCGTCTTTGAAACTTTTCAGTCATGTATCATAAAAGAAAGTGTAAAGGTCAGTAATATAACAGTGGTGTTAAAAGGAGTTGCTTTTCGAAACTACTAACAAAATACGTGGCTGAGAGGAAAAGGTGATACTGTGATCTTATGATCGATGACTGTCAGTAGCTGTACTTCAGGTACTGCCCTTGAAGTGCAGAGACAATGCAAATTATTTTCTTTCAATATTGGAAAATTTAAGGTTATTGGTTTCTGGATACAAAGTATCGGGGCTGATCAATCTGTTTAGTAATCTGTTGAAACTGATGTATGGTTGCAAAGAATATAACTGTGTTACCATGACTTTCGAGGCTGAGCTTGACAGCTGGAATTTTTTTTGTTGTCCAAGTGAAAACGTGAACACATGGGTTGATGACATTACGGCATATCAGAGGCCACATAACAATTCTGAATCTTCTTTTCCATGCTTGAAGGTATTCGAATAGTATTTTTTGACTATTAGAAGGTGAACTTTATTATGGATTATATAGGCATTGGTAGAATTGGAGAATAAAGTTTTAGATGACAGCTTTGTACTGTGTTGGTTTCTGTTATACTCTCCTTTTGAGTTTTCAGTTTCTTCCTAATGAATTAACTGTTTTTCTTCTCTTGACTAGGTGATTTCAGAATGATAATAGGAGAAGACAGATCGAAAGTGCAGAACATAGTGAAACCTAATGTTCTCCATTTTCAGAAGCTGTACAGTAACATATTACAGGACTGCCCTCAAGTGGTATACAAGCACCATCTGGGAAGGCTAGAGGCAAGTGTTCTTCTTCAAAACATTTTTAAAACAAGCAAGTGGAAATGCTTTATCGCATTGACAGAAGGCAAGAATTATGCCATACGCTAAGGCAAGCAGTTTTAGTCACTGCTTGCTATTTGTTATGTTTCTGTTGTTTAGTTAATTCTGCAACCAGAAGACTTGCCTTAAATACCAGTCTCTGTGTATGTAGTAACTACTGTTCATTTTCTTTGAGTATGGGCACAGAACTAGAGCCCTAGCAAGGGAACAAGAGAAGATAATTTTAAAACTTGTGTTCTAATGACTACCATATGGAAACAACGGTCTAGGAAGTGATGAATAAACATATGGTTTGTGTTAAAAAGATTAGGTCGTAACTCAGAGGTGCAACTTTCTGCGATCAAAAACTGCATCCCACAAAAAACCCCTAGAGTGCTAGTTATGAAGTTGACTAAACCCAAATGAAATTCTGGCATTATCTTTAAATACCCATACTAAAACAATTTTTCCCTAGTATTTGGGAAACAGGTATCCAAAATCACTAGTATCTTGAATTCCATCTTTCTGGCACAAGTGTAACATTGCAATTAGGGGAGAGGTGCCATAGTCAGGGGTCCAATAGCAATTTTTCCTCTTGTAGTATGCATGTCCGTGTGTGAATATTCAAGCGTGATATACATTTCAACATGAAGTTACAAGTAGCATGGGTTATTTCATGGACATGGGTATCTCTTTATCCTTAAGTCACCTTGGTAATTATCTCACGAATGCCTCCTTTTAGGATGTGTCTTTGTTAGGAACTGAAGCAAGCTTGAGTGCAGTAAACAATTCTACTGCAACGCTTTGGAGTACAACGTAGGCGAATCTGTATTATACTGTAGCTGTCTCCATGTTTTCTTATCATTGTGCTTTTGAACAGTTTAGTGGAAGAAGTATTTAAATTAATTTTGAAAAGAATCCGTAATGCTTTCTCCGAGAAAATGGCTAGTTAGAGTAATACTCCCTGTTGTGTTACCTATAAACAAATCCTGGTAGCATACTACAAATATGTTGTTGGATAATAAATCTGTCTGTAATTCCGTAATAGTCATTGAGGCTGTTGATTAAATGCCATCATTTTACTGTTGATTTTGAGCAAAGTGCTTTAATAATGTATTCCTCATACCTTGGTCTGGTTATTGGCAGTTATTCCCCGGATTGAAGAGGATAACTGCTATCGGGAGTGCCGTTTAACACAGAATAGTAACCCCTTCTCCAAGTATACGTCTTCAGAGTTACAGAGAAGATTCTTTCATAAAAGATTGCTCAAAAACAATTGAAGGCAGACACTAGTTCTTATAGTTCTGGTTCAGGCGTGGATTCCTCCCACATAATGTTAAGAGCCTGCTCATTGTCGGCTCCCTCTGTAGTCAGTGGGTGATTCATCTGGATATCATTTTCTCCCCATTGACTAAAGGGAGTGTATAGGGCAACTAGACTCCTGTCTGATGTCTCCATGAACTGTCTAAAAACTTGTGTGGGAGGAATCGAGCTCTTCATATTTTCCTCCAGTTTCGGAGAGATCTGCTCTATTACGCAGTTTTCAGTATTTGGGCTTACATTTTGTATAAAAGTGTACAGGCCTGCACGTTGGTATCATTGTATGCAAAAAAGGGTCATTGAATTTCTGATTTAGATTGGAAAATGTGGAATGAGTGTTTCCTTCAAATTATACAAACCAGATGTGGTTTGAGTTTAAAGCAGAGAAAATGTTTTTCAAACTAACTTGAAATGTGTGTGTATATGGTTTGATTATGTTCAGGCAGAAGAAACTGAGCTAAGTGGTCTTTTGGGAACTTTTTTTTTTTGATTGCAGTGTACTTCTGTTTCCAAAGGAAATTGGGTAGAGCAGAATGATACAGTTTCAGTGCAGAGGCAGCAAGATCATGTGTGTATATTAGTCTTCCCTTGGATAAAAATGAACATCTTTGCATTGAGTTATTCTTCAGGTTCAGAACTGAGATACTGCATTTCCCAGTGCTTGGGAAGTTTTCATTAGCATTGTCAGTGACTTTTACAATTGAAATGGATCGTGTTCTTTGAGATATTTATCAGAGGTCAAAGATAGCCAAAAGACTTTTCTGACTTCTTTGAAAAGAGAACTTACTTTATTAACACTGAATGTTTCTACTGTCTTATTTTTTGTAACGTTCAGATTGATAAAAGTCCAGAAGGTCAATTTACACAACTAATGGCCTTGCCAAGGACTCTGCAACAAAAGATAACTTCTCTGGTAGACCCTCCTGGAAAAAACAGAGATGTGGAAGAAATTTTACTGCAAGTTGCCCACGATCCTGACTGTGGATTTGTGGTGCATCAAGGTAGGCCTAGATCAGTGTCTGTAATCTCCTTTAAGACATGATATATACACAGATTTATTGTACATGTTGTTCTTGTTCAGAAGATGATTTAGAGAGAAGGGAGACAAAAACAAGAAGTTAGTCTTGAGATACATTCCTAAAAGCGTGGTTTCGGATTTGTTTGATTGCAAACAGATTCTCTGAAATGCTAGCAAATAGCATTCCTGATACAGAAAGATACGTTCTGTTTTGGATTCTGAAAGAAGTAGTCTTTAGGAATTTGTGTGGCCTACTTAGACCATCTAACTCTGTTTGGGATGCTTACATCTTCAAGATTTCATTGGCTGGCATAACTTCATCTAAATACTGAGCTATATATCCTACCAGTCATACACTGCAATGCTAAGTTAATTTTCTAGCTTGCTGGCATTACCTTTCCTAGTTTTCATAGTTAGTCCAGATATGTGAGCTCTGGCAGAGAACTTGGCCTTTGAGGAAGAAGATTGAGGTGATTCTCATCGTCACGGATATCTTCTCTGAGGCAAGATAATGTTGTATGAGCAAGTTAAAGCTTATGCTGCAGACATCGATGTTTTATTATTCTGCAGAAAAACGAAAATGTTTAGTACTTGAAGAGTCCTTTACATCTTTAAAGAACTTGACACATCTTAGTTCCAGGTGGCCAATTTTGCAAGCTCCTTGAGCACAGCAAAAACTGCCTAGATGCCTGAGAGCCACTAGACACTAGCCAACTGCTGAGGGAGCTCTTACACTGATTTCTGTTTGGGGAAAATAAAGCTCCTGAGAGTTGTAGTTCTCTGTTGACAGTATAGGATGAATTGCACCTGGACATCAAGGTGTCCAGCTTCTTTCGTGTCAGTCTATGGCAGCTCCTATGCTACTATGGCTGGACTGCAACAGTAACGTGGTAATAGCTGAATCTGGGAGCAGGAGTTGCAGTGGTTGTGATCTGCATGTAGTTTGAGAGCTCTGAGTTGTGCGCCCTGAGCCAACTATCCTTGTGGTTGTATTTATGTAGGGTATTGCAGGCACGGCTGTGACTGTGGACTGTGCGCAGTGGTGCAGCAGTTCAGTATCAAAGCACTGGATAGATCTAGTCTTCTCAAGCTAAGCAGTTTATACTCTTAGGAGAACAAATCAAAACCCCTCTTGCACTTTCGTGGCTGAAAGATTTTCCTAATTCAAGAATCTGGGTAAAGGACAGGACGAGCCATTTGGTAATCCTACAAGACAAAGCTGATTACTCAAGTTGAATTGCATTGTCCCTAGGTATTTTACTAGCTCAACATGATTTGTTCCCTTCCCCTCCCCACCGCTACCCCCCCAAATTATTTTCCGGTGGAATGTTGTTATCCCTTTTACTTATTCATGGATTTCCCTAAGCTTTGTTCTTCATTATAGAAATAGCTTTGAAAGAAGGATTTTAAAGGAATATTTGAAATTATACTCTACATGCTGGTTAATGCAGAAGAATAACTTTCAGTTTGGAAGACTAACTCTGGGACTGCTGCATTTCTACATTTTTAAGTGTTTAGTAATGTACAGTAGTTTTGTTCTGCACATATGAGTATGCTTTTATTTGTATGTGTTAGAACAGATAAAACTTAGTACTTTTCAAAAAAAGTTTTAATGTTTTACTTACTTACTATTCCATTAATACCTGGACAGTGAGAACTGAATGTGCCACAGTGCAAAGTGGTAAACAAGCCTTATCTCCAAAAGCTGATAATTTAAAAAAGCCAGACAAACACTGCACAATATGGGCATCTCTACTTGATCCCAAATGTGCAAAATCCCAATTTCATATTGAAGTAAACAATTAGTATAATTTGTTCTGCTCTAGAAAGTTAGTATGCCAGCACTTAAATGAAACAACTCTGAATCCTTTGTGACTAATCATCTTAGTAGAGAAATAATGGGAACACTAAATGAATTAATTTGATCAATTCCTACTGGTTGTTATGTGTTTTAATATTGATTTGTTTTTTTTTTAATATGTTATATGTAAAATAATATAAAATAGCTTAGAGAATATTTTCAGTTAGTATGACAAAGCAGAACAGAAACAGACTTTCTCAGCTTAAGTGTATGTTTTACTTTCAAGCTGGCTTGATTGTATAACTGGAAAAATATTTAACTTTTCTGTGTATGTTGGAGGATAAAAAAAATCCCCACAAAACTGCTAAGATGAGTAACATCTGTGTGCTTTTCTATCTGCAGGCATTTCAGGAATTGTGAGATCTTCCAGTATAGTGCAGAGTGCTAAAACCATACTAACAGCTGGTAAGAATGCATGTGATTTCTATCAACATAGGCCTTCCGATTTCGCAAAGTAAAAATTATAGGGCCCTAAGACTGTCTTGTTATAAGAGTTTAAAGAATAAACTTTTTGGGTGTCTAATGAAAGCCCCTGGAAAACAAAAGTAATATTTAAAGCAGAAGCTTTATATAACTATTGAGAAATTGTAAAATGCCAAAAGGAATTGGAGTCTATATGACTCTTAAACAAACAAAAAACCCCAATAATGCAAAAGTAACAAAAAAAACAACTTCTGACTTCAATTTCATTTTATATGTGGGCCAGATTTGGCTGATGTGCACTAGTTCTGCTCTTTTTGTATTAGAAAATGAAAAAAAATTACTTTATAATTCGCTCTGGCTTTCTACATGTGAGTGGATCCCTAGACGATCAGTACGTATTATTGGTGTGTTATGTAGACTATAAGGTTATTTCATCATAAAATAAAGGAGGGGATAAATTTTGAGGGAGAGAACTTTGACAGGATCCAATGTTTTTGTCAGGCTCAGAAGACAGTTGTGTATTTGAAGACATAATGTCTTCCAAACTGAGCCTATACTTGGTGAGCATTGGATATTACTGTAACTCTCATACTTCAAAATTAATTATTTTAGAAAAAGAGTTGAGTATTACAAAGTCAATGTGAGAGAATGTGTAGAAGGGATAAAAAGGACTTGCTCATGTAGCAACATGGGAAAACTAGGGATGCTTTTCAGCTATCCAAGTCTTCCTACCTGAATGAAAGTTACTGCCAATTACATAGCTGGAGCTTCATCCTGTTTTCTGAGTTCTGGAATAAATGTAATTTTAAGCTGACCTGATTTTTACACTTAAAAAAGCTGAAAGCGCTGCAGCTCGATTTAAAAGAAAGACTTAAGACCTGAGCCTTCATTTAGTTAAAACGCTGATCAGGACATAGTCTCAATTCCTCCAAAGTGAAAAACCCTTGCTGCTTGCATGAAGTTGCTCAAATATTTTTCTGAACTCATTCATACCTATTCCTAATTCTTCCACAAAAGCGATTATGTACAAATGATGCCATGACAGGTTTTAAAAGCAGCTCTATAGTTTCCTACTGAGCAGTCCTTATCCAGGCTTCTACAGCTGCTCTTCCCTTCCCATTGAGTGTTAAAGTTGGTGGCTCCATGTTATACCTCCTACCTCCTTGTAAAGAAACACAAGTTGCAGTGTTCAGGACTGTTAGTGGTCTGCTGAGTAAAATAAGCAGGAACGGTTGTACTTTTTATATGCTTCTGTTAATAGTCTGGTTCTATTAATTGGAAGAAGTCTGACAAAACTATTGCCTAACTTTGTTTAGTAGCTGGAGGAGACTGAGGACATAACTCCATCTGAGGAAAGCAATTTTTTGTTTTATTTGAGTTAGGCATGTCGCAGGTATTAGTTTCTAATGTAAGGTTTCCAACCAAATAGGTGACATTTTTCTTCTAGGGTTTGTTGCCAAAATTACCTGCTGGTGGTCAAGACTTCTTGTATTGTAACATGCCTCTTTTAGAAATACCAGCTTGTATCTATCTGTTTCTAAATCCATGGAGAGTAGATTTTGTAGAGCAAAATAATGGGAGGGCAGGGTTCAAAGACGACGTTATCGTGTTGAATTCAGTGCTTGTGAAAGCTAGCAGCCTGACTGACGTGTGGAGCAAAACTGTTTGTGCATAACTGCAAGAGTATGAATAAAAACAGTTAAGTTTTGTCGGATTATTTATGCTCCCCTTCTGTCTGTTCTGATAGACAGAACATCACCTCTGGGAATTGTTAGCTCCTTTTGTGTGTCACGCAGTAAATGACTTACAGCCTGTATTGTTACTAGGACTTTTGGGGGGTCATAATGCATCTTTGAGTAGGACTTGTAATTTTTACCGTGTTTCCTGTTTTGTGCACCTGAAACTAGGTATTTGTGAAATGCCTTTTGTTTGCTTTGTCTTAACTGCTTTTTGCTTTATATATAGTGGCTTTTTCCCCCCCCCCCCCCCCCCCCCTCTCTCAAAGTCTCAGTTGCTGACCCATCCTGTCTGAAGTCTGCCTCCAAGCAGTTCTTCCAGAATATAATCTGTAAAAGAGAGGCACCTCCACAGGTGAAAAGTTTGTGCCTGTGGAACACAGGTGTCTGCAGCAGG